ATCTGATACCGTCGGGTCTCCAACACTAGAACCTCCCTTTCAGAGTCGCTACAGAGACGATAAAGCTCTCTCTGTCGTCCGGATGGCCTAGATCGTTAAGGCAGTAGTGCCGTAGCGATCTCGGACTGCAGGATCGCGGGTTCGAGTCCCGCCTCGGGTATGGTTGTATTTGTGTTCGTCCTTGAACCCCTATCATCATCGCCGTATTATGTCATCTTCATAGTTACATAACGTTGAATACAATAGTGGTCGCTAATCACCAAGATGTAGATGCGACCTTAAATAACAAAAAAAAAAGAAAGAAAAGAAAAGAAAAAAGGGCTCGCTCTTAGCTAACTCTACCGTGAGCACGACAGACACGGAGCGCGATAGCAGCGGAGGGAATCCATATGACCAGTTCAAGGGCGAGAAGATAAGCTGAGTAGGTAAACGTTACATTTCAAATTGTTTGAGGTCAGTATTTTCATCACTCTCCTGACTAGAGGCTTTTGGTTATCACTTCTGACTCCTTACTGAAGCCCGCCTTGCTTCCATTTAGTGACCGTTTCTCAGAGGAGGGCAGGGAGGATAGTTTTCCTCACGTGTATTCTTATTCTATGTGTAATTTACAAATAAAACGTTTGCTTTGGTGTTTGAGGTAAAATGAAGAACTTCTAAGTTGATACCTTTGAGAAATTTACGTTGATCGAGTTTTAAACTACCTACGCTTCAATAGTCGCGAAAACTATCGAAATCGCTCTTATGAGGAACTGTCAGCTTTTCCTCCTGTCTTTTGTTTCCGCGGCCCACATTTCAGCGGCCTCAAGAGGAAACGTGTAACGAAGCCTTAATAGCCAAAGGGAGAAGTTTCTCTCAAGATTGATCTGCCATCTGGAGATGACTTTCTTCAACTAAATCAGCGGGTCTCGGAGCCGATACGACGCAACGAGCCAAGTGCCGAGACTGGTAATGTTATAACTGCTGTAATGTTATAACTGCTGTAATGTTATAACTGCTGTAATGTTATAACTGCTGTAATGTTATAACTGCAGTAATGTTATAACGTGAGCTCGCGGAAGGCCGGGTGAAGGGGCCATTCGAACCGATATCTCTTTCTCACTGATTCCACCGCGAATCGATGTGCCCAAGCTAATTTCTTTATGATTAATTTCACATAGTTTGGGCTACCAGACTTCTTTCCTCCTCGTAAGAAACGCGCAAGAGCCGCTTCTGCTTCCTTTTTCAGGGTGGCTGACCTGTACCTGTGCCCGGTGTTCGCGTGGGGCACGGACGAGCAGTGGGAGTTCGGGCTGCAGCGCGTCGTCAACTTCCCCAAGGAGCGAGAGCCCGAGGAGCGCAACATGCTGCTGGCGAAGGTCGCCGGCTGCGCGCGCGACCCGCAGCGCATCGAAAGGTGGGCGCCAGGGCCTCTCGACCGCTCCCCCTGGTGGAGACCACTCGCTCTCCTGTGGCCCCTTCTTACGTCAAATAAAATACGACTCTTACAACGTGCGAGGCTGCTGCGTGGGTGCGCCGGACTTATACAGGCGCGAATGTTACTCTCTCTCTCCCTCTCTTTCCCTCACCCTCTCCCTCTCTTCCCTTTCTTTCCTTCTCTCCCTCTCTCTCCCTATTTCTCCCTCTTTCCCCCTCTCTCCCTCTCTCTCCCTCTCACTCTCCCTCCCTCTATTCTCTCTCCCCCTCTCTCCCCCTCTCGCCCCCT